AGAAGTGAACCGAGCAATTTCATTGGTTTCATTTACTGAACAAACCGTTGCAAGCATAACGTTCCGAAAATGGTTTTCACTGCGATGTTTGGTTTTCACAATGTGCGAGTTTATTTTAATTTTTAATGTGCGAGGTTAATTTGATTCGAGATACCGCTCCGAAATAAGTTTGTGTGAGAAATGTCAATCCGGTTCACTTCACTGGCATGAATCAAACTATCTAATTATTTCATCACCGCCAAAAATATAAAACCTGATATTGTATGCTAAAATAAATATTCCCTCGCATTTATTACGTTAGTTTATATGAAAAAAGAGTTGAGTTGTGAATATTCAAACTGTTGAAATTCGTCGATATATGCGCTTTTTTATATTTAAGTGACATCAAAAGTTTGGATAGATGGACCAGGAACAGATAGACCACCGCAACAATTGCGTAATTGAAAGTGAGGCTATGTTGCACACTTTTTGATTTAGTTATTTTCGAATATTTTGAATTCCAATCCCACAAAAATGAAAATTATATTAATGTTCACTTAAATTAACATTTAAAAATATATTTACATTTATTTTGTAAATATTTTCTGGTGCTTTGTAGATTTTTTTAGCAATTAACTTGTTATCATTGTGACACAAAAGTGAGGCTATGTTAACCATTTTATTTTTCTAAATTAATATTTTTCAATATTGAAAACAATGAATTTCACAAAATTACAAAAAAAACTAATTTCCATTAAAAAACGTTTTAAAATTTATTTATTGTTACTTTTTTAAATTATTTTTCTGTACTTTTCAAACTTTTTAAGTAAATTTTTGTTATTGTAAATATGCGAGCGTCATCTGTTAGATGCAAAACAACACATTTGGGACAGATTAGTTCGATTTGATGCAATCAGGGAGCGCGTCAGTGTTTTCGGTAACAAAATTTATATGGGAATTCCTATAATAGACCACCGCTATGGATAACACTTTGTTCAATTAAAAATCTGAAAATGAAACATAATTTAATTCAAAATATATTTTATTTTTGTATTTGTATTTATTACGCAGCGTTAGCTGCTCTTTTTAAAAATTCTTAATACTAGTTTACAAAATTGGAAAATTTATTCTTAATATAAGCTATACATTTTCTTTTAAATTCATTTCAATTTTCTGACTTTTTAATATCAATTGGTAAAAAATGCTATACTTTTAATCCATTGTAATAAATAGGTTTCTTTGCTCTTTCGGTTCGAACCATTAGCAATCTAAATATATGACAGTAAGTTTGTCAATTTAAACAAAAATGGCATTTGATTTCGTAAATTATCAACAAAAATATACAATTTATTTTCTTCTTTGCTCTTATTATGTACGATATCCTATGTATAAATAAATAATGTATAAAAATCATGTTGGTAAATATTTAATGACTATTATCTGAATAAATCATCAATCATGTGAAAATTTAATCTTTTTTATTTTATCTATTGGTACCACTTTTATTTTACATTTGTCATCCATTGATACAATGTCTGGTTTGGCTGTCTCTGTCTTTGTCTCTGTCTCTTCTGGCACAAAACTGTAACCATTACTGTAACGACTAACTAATTTCTGTTTCCACTTTTTCACATTCGAATCAGAATTATTACAGCAACAATATACATCATCGGTTTGAACTGCGATTTCGTTCGTCTGAATGGGTGACATTCCTATTTATTTATCAAACAAAATGGATACGTTATATATTTTTTTAAATTGTGTCTCTGTTATTCACATACTCCAGACAGTATGGATCTATCAGGCTCACCAACTCAAAAAAAAAATTGAATAAACTATTCGATCAATTTGCTTCAAACTTGCGCGAGTTAATGGTACGTTATTTGTATCAATCATACTGTCCAGATTTGTCTTTCGTACACTAGCACACTATGCAAAAACACATTGAAGAAAAGACAAAGTAAACAAAAATTTCATGATTACCGTTTATTTCAAATGTTATCTTTATAGATTTATGTGTGCCTTTGTTGACATTTGGCCAATCTATGTAGAATCTTCCGAAAGCTTTATCCTTTGCTCTACCATCAATTAAGCGTGTGCAATGTTTTAAACTGCGAATAATGTCAACAATGACAGCATGCGCTGGAACATTCGGTGAACGAGCTCTGATCACACCCATTTCACTTGAAATCGGTCCGGCTCGATAAATGGTATTTTCTCTTTGTGTGGAATTATATTCAACGCCCACTATTGTCAGTCCACCTGGAAAATACGAAAAAAAAAACATAAAACCATTCTATGGAATATAACGTTATTCAGCACTTAAGGCTTCTATAGATATCATCAAAAATAAATATTAAATTCTTAATAGAAATAAAAAGTGTCGAGCGAACAAATTTTGTACATTAGCGAACGGACAATTTACGGATGGGCAAAAAAATATCGGATGGGCAAATGTTGGCAACGGGCTTGCTTATGATTTTGGATAAACGGACACGAATATTTTTATTTGGAATTGGTCGAGGAATTTTGAACTAACTTAGAAATTAAAATTAATATTAAATGGACATATGACGATCGATATATTCTATGTGCGCTGCATATCTTTTTGAAACTCTTTTTTTTAATTGGGACATTTTTTGATTTTTTTTTTCACATTTTACGTGGCGCACATAAGTGTTATCTTATCTATACGTCTACCTATGCGTGTGTTTTGGTGCGGTTCTGTAATTTTGGATTCTGAATCGAATCATGTGTACTTTTGAGAAGTAGTAGCTTTTAATTGATCCAGTAAATTTGTGATTCAAATAAAATAGATCCAATATTATTTGGAAATGCGAATCAATAATGCATAAGGTACAAATAATGGTTTTAATTCGCCTGGAAATGGTAGAAAATGATTTTACATTTTTAATCACATTTGCTATACTATAGCTCATATCGATATGTTTGAAAATTGATCGGTTCCGCTTGCTTTGAATACCACTAAGCTTGATAAAAGCAAATAATGACTGTGTGTATACAGATCTATAGATTGGCTTCATTTTCGTTTAAAAGTTTGAATGATTCAGCTTGACCTAAAAGGCATAAAAAGTGATGAAACTAATGTCGACTAAAAATATTTGCCTTTCATTGGGAAAAGTACCATACCTCTCATTAACATTCATTTTAACCATACGGTATTGTCATTCGGTAGCTTTTACAATGCATCATGTTTGATCATTTATTTGACTCACAAATCTCTCCATGGTTGATCTGATATTGGGATGGCTGGTTATTTGAACACATATTTTATAAAATAAGTGGTTGGCATTCATCCAAGTTCATCGAAAACTTGATACTGGTTAAGTTTCAAGCAGGGCTGAACGTTATGGATTTATCAGTATAATTTATCAAATAATTTAGTATAATTCGATTTTGTGACAACTACCATTTTTCTCTTCAACATGACAGTCTGAATCTAGACTTCTATTTTAGTTTTCAATAAATGTCACAAGTACGTATTTATATATTAATAAATGTATCTTGTTTCTGTCGCCAAATGGACCCAAAAAAACTATTTGCGCAATAAATTGAAAAGAAAAAAATAATCAAAAAATAAATTTACCTAATGAGATAGATCTTTGTCTTTGCTCCATGATTTGAATTTGCTCTTTGTCTAGATGAAACGGAAACAGTCAAGTATCTAATCGATCATGGAGCAAATGAAAATACCTATTTTCTCCATGATCGATGAGATATTTGATAGCTTCTTTGTGACCAAAAATCATGAAAATATTCAGTTGTAGATGTGTCTGTAGGTGTGGAGATTTCATACAATTGATATTATTAGTAGTTATGAGAAGTCTAGCTCAACTTGGGTCATTTGCACTATGGACATTCGCAGAATCCGTTGTGACAACAAATCTCTGTATTATTAACATGTATATACGTCAGAACTTTTACGTGCATGGGCCCCCATTTAAAATACACGTTGCTGCGTGCACGTAGAAGTTTCGACGTATATTGAAGTTTAAACAACCATTAAAATGAATTCAAAGTTTGATTTGATTGTCTGGAATATTGTTGCATATGTTGATTTATGTTGTCCATGTACCGATTGTTTCTGCGTTAGAATTGTGTTCGATGTGAAGCTTAGGTGGAATTATTCCAAGTGTTACACGTATTTCTCATCGAATATACTACAAAGAGTAGCTCTTATTTTTCTCCAAATAATACTGCAACATAAATTTTTTTATGAATAGTTTATTTGTTGTATTACAACAAATAAACCGTGTGAAAAAAACTTCATGTTGCAGTATTATTTGGAGAAAAATAAGAGCTACTGTTTCGCCGCAACGATTCAAATATATGAAGACGTAGAAAATACAAAATGTACTTGTACAGAGTTATTTACAAATTCTTTCGTATATACGGTTTATATTCTTATTATATTCAACCTTGATGTTTCACTTCGAATCCGATCGATTATTGTATCAGATGAATTTTCTGTAAAAGAAACTCGATTTCAAAGTGATCTTCAATTTAAAAAAAATTAAACCAACCATCTGTTTGTGCATCTCGTATTGGACTAAATCTTATCTTAAGATAATCTTATGTCAAGATTGGGTTGTTGGGTTTATTCTGTATTTACCCTTGGTATATACAACTTGATTAACAAATTGGCCTTTACCATTCTCATTTTGAAGAAAACTTTTTCAGGTCAGTAACTTTGCAGAGCTCAAATATGACCATTATCTCTCCTGTGAAATATTTTCATGAAAAAAAATTAAAAAATCAGTTTAACATTTTCATTTTGCATATATCTTAAAATACATCGCGCGATCAATTCATCATCAATGATAATAACTGAATCTGACGAATGAATTCATCACACGATATAAATTAATAATTGTAGATCAATGTTTCTAAATACAAAAATGTTTTGCAATTCATATGGATATTAGTGCGTTAGTTCCCTATAGGGACTGTATACAGTCGCTTCGAATTATTTTTTCTTCAGAACCATCGAATAATATTTATAACGGATTGTGTAAAATTGAATTATTTTGATGTAATTTCAATTAATTAAACTTCATATAAAAATTATTCTGCTCAAATCATAAAAGTATTTATTTACCACATTCATAAGCCACGTGAAATGGTGTACGTTTGATATTGTTTTCCGCATTCACATTAGCGCCATTTTCGATGAGAAAGTTGACTACTTCTATTTGACCTAAAATGCGTAGAAAATGCGTGGGAAAAAAATCTTCATGTAAAACTAATTCTTCTCAGTTCGGAAAAGTATATAATTACCATACTCAACAGCCCAGTGACGTGGTGTCTGAAGTGGTGATGTTTGAAGTGAGTTACAACTTACAAATCGAGTTGTTTTCAGATTTCCATACAAATTCTTAGGAAAAATTTCATTCCCATGAAAAATAATTTTCCTGGACGAATTTTCCAAAAAGGAAAATATGTTATCTATAGATTGTGCTGAGGAAACCGAAAGTATAGGTTTCAAGTTAATAGCTGATACCTTGCATGAGTTATTCGTGTCACAAACAAAATCAAAAGTTTGTTGCATATGCCTTGTATGGGAGCCTCCCATTGGGAGGGCATACATTTTTTTTAAGTTATTGTATGAGAAACGGTTTGAACATTTTCTTTGATTTTTGAATGAATTTAGCGAAATAAAATCAAACAAAACGCTATCATATCATAAAATTTCAATTGCGAGGTTCAAATTTCGTTATCCAAGCTTGGTTAAGCTAATCTTTTATGTATTCTTTTGTTTTATGTTGAGACAAAATCCATCTTTTGCTTCAAAATTGTCTGACCTTCCAAAAAAATATTCGTGTTCGTTTGCTTAAGTTCTTAAAAGAACGTGCATAGTTTTTAAGATACCCCGTAAATGAGAAAAAATTGTAAATGTGCACCCATGTTGTCTAAACAGGTTGAACTCTATGGTTCTATGCAGAAAAATAAAGGAAAAAAGAGAGTAGTGCCCTTAAGAGCAGCACATATGTGTTGCAAGTGTTGCTGCTGTTTGGTTTATGACCTGTATCCGTTTTGCCCACTTTTCAAATCGTACATTTTGCCGAATTACCAAAAAATGTGAACATGCCCGTTTGGCACCTTTAATTCTTACCAAGTGTACTCTCCGAGAATCGTAGTAAAAAAGTGCCCGCAGGATGGTTGCGAAGGCTGTACACGTCATCTTCTGTCACAAAACCTTCGATTAGATCATATTCCCATAATTCCTTGATAAATTCTCGTGTGAATTTCATTACACCGTAGAACCATTGCCAAAATGTAAATTTTGAATCGGATAAATCCTCGCAAGATTCAGTCCAAGAAAAGTTATCCCTTTTGTCAATAACTCCATCCTTTTTGGCTTTTTGATCTGCGAATGAGTCATATTTTAACATTAATAATCAACAAATTTTCTTCATTGCCTGAAATGAAAGCATTTATATGATATTTTAATGAATCAGCGATGTCATATGTAATGGAGCCATAAACATCCGAAACGACATTTAAAATATTGCATATTTTTCATGTGTTTTAAGTTAAAATCTGTAGTTCAAACATATTGATTATTATAGAGATTCATCTAGTTTCACTTGTCAGTTTTTATGCTAAGCTCTTTCGTTTTTTAACACATTATTTGTTTTTTACAAATTTGAAAGTCCATCGGAAATAAATGTCAGTCGAAGCAGTTTTTTATTAAAAAAAAAATAAAGTTCAAAGATTTTTGGATGAAAAAATATCAAGCAATTTAGATGTCATCCTTGAGAAATCCGGTTTTTCGATTGAAGAAATCGTTTCATGCATCTTTTAACAAACAATTCAAATTAATACCCTGAATCGCAAATTAGTCAAAAACATTTTAAATGAAATGTCGTTTATTTTATTTTTCGAATGATTCAGTATCCAAATCCAAGATTGCTCACCGCAATGACTAATTTCAAAAATACTGGATTCGTCGAAAAATATATTGATTCTTCATGTGTTTACTTGTTTCGCGGAAAATCAGATGCTACTAAAACTTGTTTTAAGTTGTTTTTTATCAATATTTTTCGGGAACAATATGTTTATTTTTCTGTGATTTGTTTCATTTCGAAACGATTGAATTATTGTCGATCTTGTATTTAAACACAGAACCATTGGAAATCACCACATGCAGTACGTTTATTTGATTATGATTGTTTAATATTTTACCGAATTGCGGCATGACGTAAGCTCAAGTGGAATAGTGACTACATAAATTCAACTATTTTCATATGCATGTTGTGATTTGTCAAACATTTGTTGTGTTTTATGAAAATTGTTAGAATTTAAAATATTTCAACTTCTAGCCGTCATTTACATAACCGAAGTCCTTTCAGTGTATTATTTGGAGAATAATAAGAAGCTATTGTTTCGCCGCAACGATTTATATCTGAATTAAATGAATATGTCACATTTAATATGATTTTTCATATTCGATACTCACATAAAGCGGCCAAATGTTTAACGTTCAAGCTACATCCGGTTTCGCTTTTAAAAAATGATTCTAAAACCGGGCTCATTCGAAACCATGGAACCGATTTGTTTGGAGATCGTGCAACATCAGGAAAATGTTTATCCCACATGACGGCCGCTTTGGCTAGTGGCTCTTGACTATGATGTACAATGACAAAAACGGGCCATGAAAATAATGATGCCTAAAACGAAAAACAAAAAAAAAAAAATAAATAAAAAATGAAACGAAAAACAAAAAATCAATGGTCGATAGAATTTCAATTGACTTACACCAAATTGAATATTATCAATTTGAAATTGGAAGCTAAATTTCAAGACATATTTGGTGCCGACTACTTTATCCTGTTGATTTTTGAGTCGCTTGATTTTATCCACTTTCAACTGTTTTAATTGATAATATATATCATGCGAATCTTCATGGAGTTGTATTTTTACGGTTTTTACTTCGTTTTTCGATTTTGTTGTGAATTCGGTGACTTCTTCCTCTGTTTTGAATAATCAGTATACAGTTTTTTTTAACAAAAAAATAATTTAAATATTTTATTCGGATAGAAAAGAAATACAATAAAATTTGAACAATATTTACGTCAAGATGACGGGAAACATTTAAATTGAAAAATACTAACGTGATAAAATCGTAACTTTCAACTCGTTGGTTTTGATATTCAGGTTGCTCAAGGTTAGCAGTATTCGAATGGCTGATGGGAAACTAAAATTTTTATTTTTTTGGTTGTTGTTGAAATTTTCTGGTAAATTCAATTCAATATCGTCGTTCAAATATAATCTTCCGATTGTAATCGTGTCCGGTCGCCGATTATGAACAAATGATTTTTAATAATCGATGTTCAATTGAAATCGTACACGATTACAATTGGACCTCTAGGAAATGGGGTCTTAACACTCACTATGTGTCGGTTTTTAAAATTTTTGGGGGCTGCTCTTGAACCATCACAATCGATTCGATTAATTTTTTAAACATATCATATATTTGTTCAATTTCACCATTACACAGTGTATGATCATTTTTTATTCGCATCTTATGTATCAGTTCACGTGTATTGTAAATGATTGCAGCTATCTCGTCAAACCACACTTGAATTTCAGCAAATTTCACTAAAATATGCTCTGTCCATTTAACTTCTTTATCCAAAGAACGTACACGTTCGTGAAATGTATCGACTACATTATCTAATACATTATTCAACAAATGAATAATATTTTTTATTGATTTAACAATATCATTTTCCAATTGATGAAATGTGTGATGCCATTTATACGATTCCGGAAAGCTGGTATAACGTCCAACTGCCTTTTCATTGCACATATGTAGCACAAATAGCTCATGAATATTCCTATCAATCGCATTCAGTTCGGGTATTCCGTTTTTGTACATGGTTCGCTCCATCTCATAAGCTTCATGAATTTCTGAATCAAAATTTTCGGTTTTCATAACTTTTTTTATATCGTTATACCAATCTTCGAATGTTGGATTGTTTCTTTTTAAAGTAACGACTTTATGATTTTGCTCATATTTTTGATAGTATGGCTGTGTATTATTGCCGTTAAAAATATATTCGGTATGTAATATACGCACAACAAATGCATACTCGTTTACCAAACTATAGAGACGTTTTATACACTGATATGTTATGTTGTAATCATACAGTTGATTATATGGCTTTTGTGAAATTAATTCCATCGTTTCTCGTGTGGAATGAACTGAATTAGATAACACAAGTGAAAAAATATATAACATTTGACCCAATCGACTCAATGTTAATCATTTATGAAATCACAACAAGCCGAATATTGTTGATTTCATTTTAAATTGCTCAAATACACTTCGCGTCTTGTTTTTCGAGGAATAAAATCTCAACCGACCGAATGTCACGGTTCACTGTGATCGGAAACAACGTTGAATCAAACTTAAAATACACAATTAAATACAATCACATTAATTTGATGTTAACGGTCCAAATGTATGTTGATGACTGAAATTTCGATTCAGTCGGGTCTGTAAACACGCCTGTAGTGTCCCGTAGCTTAGTTTACGTTCGTGCTTCGAACCATACATATGACTTTCATGATTGTCCGAGAATGAATGTGATGACTTCTCTCGAAATTTTAATAAAGTGTCATCTCAAAATTACAATTTTATTTATTAGGGTGTAAGATCCAATTGAAACATAATTAAATTGACATTCTAATTGATATATGATATATTTCATAATGTTATGAAACTGTAATAAGAGTGCTCACGCTTTAAAGGGTTTATTAGAATTGTTTTTTTCAGAGTGTTGAACAATTGGTTGAGCCTTATTGATCTTACACACAAAACTAAAATCCGTGAGAGACCACTCAAATAAGTTATTCGTCCAAAATCATAACAACTCAGCTACATTGCCACAAATTTTCTAACTGAATTATGATTTTGAAAACATTCATATGCAAAAAAGTAACTGACTATGTTCGGATTCAAAGACGATGGCGCATAGTCACATGATGTGAATGCTCCAATACATATTGCACGGGCATACTAGATAGAGCATAAATTCCAAAAATCGGGTATTTGCTACATTTTTACGACTTATTGTGGTATAAGCCCCTATATTGATATCAGTTGATATCACTTCTATAGATTTATGTAAATTTATTTCGGTATTTCTTTTTTTTCTTAATTTTGGTGCTTATAATATATAAAGTATATGTGTAACACGAATTTCAGGTCTTTGTTGTTTCATTTTTAAAATGATAAAAGATTAGATGTGACACGATGTCACTAAAACGAGTATTTCTTAAATGTCAAAAGCAAGATGAGCGTAAAATTTTCCCGGAATTTTTTAACGAAAGATAGAATTGTTTACGTCGAATTCATTTCACATTAGGCATTACATTCGCGACATTTATTTTTCTACATTTTATATTATTGGATTCGTTTTATTTCTGAGAAAATTTCTTTGATAAGTAATGTGTACGATGCATATATTTTCGTTGCCACTAAGAAGTTCTACGACGATTATCAGTTATTTATTTTTACCGAAAATAGTAATTCCTAAAAATAGAAACTACAACAGTTAAGTTATTGAACCTTTTTAACTTTACAAAAATATTAAAATAGGTGGCAATGTACCTATTTTACATAAAATTCGGTGAATCAATAAAAAAACACTGATTTTTTTTTGCTGTCTGAGTAGCCCTAGATATTTGTAGCGTCTGTGCAGCATTGTCCAGATACTGATCTGATGCGTTCACCGCACGCGCAACATACTTTGTCGATGTTGTGTGTATAAACAAAGTGATACATCTACATAAAAATATCTACTCAGTGATCGCTATTCAGACAGCAAAAAACAATCGATGCAAAAAAAACAAAAACAAAAAAAATGTTTCTATAAATTTCGGCGAATTTCTTCTAAAGTTCAGCGAGTTTCTTATAATTTCTTATGAGATTCGGCGAGTCAATAAACATTTTTTAGTTTTTTTTTATTGATTCGCCGAATTTTATAAGTGTGTTTATTGTTGTTGCTTTTATCAGCACGTGCCATGATGTTGTCATCTCATTGCTGCTGTCTATATTTTGACGTGTTGCTGATGATGAACTGTAGAACAGTTTGAAATGCATTCAACGCAATTGTAAATTGCCATCTATTTTGATATTTTTGTAAAGTCAAAAAGGTTCAATAACTTAACTGGTGTAGTTATTTTTTATGAATTACTATTTTCGGTAAAAAGTTCAAAACATTTTAATGTTTGTGACATTACGTTATGTTCCAATTAAAATAAGTTTTATTTTTGTTGTTGTACGTATTACTTTTATCATTACTATCGTTACAAGAAGCAATTAAAACTTTTGATATGCGATTAGGCGTTGAAAACGCTGAAATAAATTATTTAAAAATAGCATACCCAAAAACACCAATTTTTGAAAAAATGTTTTTTTCTCGAAAAATTTGAAGTAATATTTTTTTTAAATTTAAATAAATATTTTCTTCGGCCCTGGTTATCTCAGTAAAAAAAGACGCTTACGATGTTTTGGTATGCATTCATTTTTTTAGCCCATTACAATAAGTGTGCGGAAAAGTATAATACAGCGTGCCTGTTTTTTTTTTTTTGAATGTGTTGTTTGTATTCAAATTAAGGTCTGAATATATTAGCAATGACGACATAAATGCGAATATCAATTCAAATAAATTGATTCGAATTTTTTTTATCAAAACGAATCAAACAAGCGAAAATGGAAGACTACGTGGCTAATATTCAGAGCTTACTGGCCAATTTCTGAGATATGTAATGTCATTTTATTAATTTAATAATATGTAAATTGCTTTCAACTCGTAAAAAACTTACACAAACTCATGCTATATTTACATGTGCTCACATGGTGTTAATGCAAAATGGAAAGATGCCGAAACAATTGCAATTATACGAATTAATTAACGTACGTGATGAACGCCGTAATTCAATCGATTAAAAAAATTGAAAGTGAAGAAATCAAAGAAAAGCTTTGATGGGAATCGAACGAAAGATCCAGTGAAAAAGGTCGTCAACAATGATGAATAAATCGAATTTTTTTTATCGAAGCATTTAAGTTTTGTGCAAAACAATTTAATGAAATATTTTTGAACAGGTTCATCTCTGTGACCAGTCTTGAATCATTCGAATAAAACACGTCATTTCATTCAAAAGGAAATGACAGCTGTCTTTCGTGAAAAACTTCTAAATAGAAAAAAAAACTCATTTCACACAATTGTATTCCATTATATAGAGGTTTTACTGTATTAATAAACGATTAAATATACTAATTTACATTTATTTTGGTTATGCGTTACACGATTAAAACCGGCTCTTTCACAAATGACGTCAAGTTTTTTTTAACCATAATATTGTAGACATTCTCTTGACTATCTCTTTTCTATCGCATTCGACATAATAAAAAAAAATCAAATTGATTTTATTTAATTTTTAAATAAATTATTTTCTATATTTATCCCCAAATAAACATTAATAAGATAAAAGTTGAATTGCTGAATAAAACCACTTAAAATTTTCTCCATTGTTCAAATGATTTAATTTGAAATACATGAGACTTCAAATCAAATTATTTGAGTGTTTTATGTGAAACTGGTTGTTGATAATTCTTTGTGATTTACAACAACCCATTGAAAGAGATAAACATACTAAATCAAAATATGTCGTCCGAATATATGCAACGTCCTTACGACTCTACGAACGAGAGTACGAGACTTTAATATATATTGTTTGATGCTAGGGGTTTTTAAGTATATACAATATAATGTTCAAAATATTCACAGATATTCATAATATACACGTCCTATTCATTGATCATAGTATCGACTATATTTCATCTGAAGACATCAACTCTCAGAAATGATTCCATCATATATTGGTTGGGATTGCAAATTTGAATACCAAAAAACTATGAAGGATGACTCCTTTCGGAAAGTTGCTGTACGCAACACGTGTGAAAAACGGCCATTTGTATGAAAATCGTTAATCGTACCCAAACTTACATATTGTAATAGTAGTATACATTTACATATACTTAAAGGTCCCTAGGCTTGATGTATCAACAAGCTTTGAAATCGTTTTCAACTATCATTGTGAAACCTATTTTTTCGGATTTCTAAGCCCAATTCACAAAAACAAACATTTTCTTTTTGAAAAGTTCGTCCAGGAAATTAGGTTTTTCTTAAGGATTTGTATGGAAATCTCAATTAACTTGATTTGTACGTTGTAATTCGATCTCAAATGGTATGAATTTGTTAAAAAGCAGTTTGTCCGTGGACCATGAGAATCGGACCAAGTAAATTGGAAATTTATGTTTACAAACTTTTAAGGCAGCGGACGACAGGAGGTGCTTGCCTCCCTAAGCCAAAAAAATCAAAAAATATCACTGTTTTTTAGAAATGT